GATTCCATCCCAGACCGAGCACTCGTAAGTTTTCGTCAGTTCCTTTTAACATTGTTAGTCCTTGGTCTGAGCTTTCAACACTCTTTTCTGGCAGGTCCAATTTTAACAACTCTTCTTTCACGCGAGGTTGTGTTTCGCCACTAAATTGCCAGCACTTTACAGCAAATCCTCCTTTGGCAAGGATATCCTCGGCTTCCTTGGCAATCTTTAACGCGTCGGGTTTACTTGGACGTGAGTCAATCAAATCGTCCACGTAACTGGAATGTTTTAGGAGATTTGCGGCTTGTGGACTATCCTCTCGATACAACTCCGCGGTCTTGTAGACAGCTTCTGTGCTGATGGCGGGGGCTGGTGTATCGCCCATATTGACTCGTTGTATAACGTAAATGTCCGGTGGGCGATGCTGCTGTAAATCTCGCCATAGGAAACGGTGGCAATGCTGTTCCAAGGCCTTCAAATAAACCGAGTTGAACATCTTTCGAATATCTCCGATTAGCGCTACAAGCATTTAATGAAACACCTTTGTGCGTTTGGCTGGAGTTGAACACAATTCTCACGGGCGTAGAATTGGAATGCGGGTTTACAACTGCTAAATGGGAGATATAGAACACCGGGCCAGTCCAGCTCTTTACTTCTTCGGATGCTAGTTTTCTTGCTACACACCGATCGACCATATCGTCCATTTGGCTCTTGTACGTCTTAGCCCATTGGTCATCTTTCTTAAGCGTTCTTTCAGTTCTTTCTAACGTAGCAAGTGCTGTGTGATAATTGTCGGGTAAACTTTGTGGATCTACGAGCCAGGGATAACTGGTTATCCAGCATTGGTTAATTTCGTCGTACTCGAGGTTTTCTTGAATCAGTTTTAATTCCTGTTCTTCCTTGAAAGAGTAAGTGTGTCCGACAGTAGGGCACTTATTACAGCGACATCCACCACATTGTGGAGAAATTTCGGTGGCAAGTTCTTCTTGTATAAAATTGTCAATCTGGCTTTCGTCCTTTCGGTGACTATAGGAACTCGATACATTTACAGAACATTCTCTGGTATGGTTGGGATGGAACTCTGGATGTGAGTCCAAGCGTGTCTTGTATTTCTCCACTTTCACGTTCACATCGTGTATTTTCTTTGCGAGGTTGGTGTCATATCTTGTTTCTTCGATCAGATCTGGATGGGCGCCTTGGAGGCAAATCCCCAATGCTCCATTCATGATACTTAGATTGTCGCCACATCTAGCTTCTTCTTGTTTTGGATGGAGACCGAAGTAATCACAGCCCAGCAGGACATCCACGTGTGTTGACTTTCGCTGGAGTGTTTCAGGATCATATTCTGGAAATAACTTTACCAGGACTTTAGGATCCAGTGTGCTTACTTGTCCAGTAATTCGCTCCATGCCAAAGGCCGTAACAGTGACTTTCTTTCCAGCACTTGTGTTGATTGGAAACTCGTATTGCCACGTGTTGTACGTTTTCTCGACATTTCCCATAGTTGTCACGTCAAGAGAGAGTTTTTTAACTTTCTTTGCTTTGATTCTTTCCGCAGCACGGTGAGTGATATAACTTGCGTTAGAGCCTCCATCACAGAAGACGGACACTTTTCTACCACTGTCGCTAATGGTCGCTTGGTGGATAGGGTATAATGCCATTGAATCACTTTCTACGGTATAGGATGCTAATTCCTTGTTCCCATCATCTGCAGTTTTGGATTTCTCCCCGGAATCTTTGGGGAGCTTTGGTGGGATGCACAGCAGGGAATGATGTTGGTCACTTCCACATGAGGAACATGGGAGTTTTTTGGGGGCAGTTAAGCTTCCTATGATTACCAAAACATTTGAAACAAGCGTTTACCTGCTTCAACAACTCATATCTGCCATCTTTACCGCTGATGGACAACTTCTGGAATTCTTTGCACTGTTCGGTGGTGTGATTTATGGTGTCTTTTCTGTGGGTGGGGAAGGCACACTTGTAGTAGGTCCTTTGTCCGTGTTTTGCACCTCTTTCAACATGATAGGTTTTGCTGTATCCTCTTGCATTGTCATTTCCTCTTTTCTTAGAATGCTGATTCTCTGCTAAACGAGCCACAACTGAACGTTCTCTGTCTAGGAACTTCATTAGCGGAGTAAATGGTTGAAGCTTCTCGGCAGACGATAAATCACGATATTTTCGTCTCCAGTCGACTTTAAGATGGGTAGGTAACAAATCAGTTAGGTTGTCTACATCTCGCATGGTTAAAGTGTTTAGCTGGTTGAGCTCTTCCAATTGACTGTAGGCAGATTCAACTTCATCAACTAATTCAACCAGAGCTTTATAATCTTCTTCTTTTACAGGTTTTAGCCTTTGAAGATCTTCCAAAGCAGCTTGTACACTGGCAGTGGTATCTCCATAGTGACACTCTAGCTTTTCCCACATGATGTCGTAAGCTTCGGGCTTGGGGACAAAAACAGATTTGATGCGGTGTTTGGCTTCTCCTTTAACTGAGTTCTTAAGTTCGTGTGCTAATGCAGTTTTATTATAACTTGCAGACTCAGCCATAGACTTCCAGACTGCCTTGACCTCTGGCCAGTCTTTCCTAAGTCCGGAGAATGTGGGTAGGGCCATCCTTTTTAGCCGAATGGTGGAATCTTGGTGGGAAGGTCTTGTATTAATCAACGGGACTGTGGGTTGATGTCCAGATGGGGTTGTATACATAGGACTGGTTGACAAATTGCTCCTGGACTGATTGTGGTTGCTATAATAGCTGGATGCCATTCTTGGCAGATTTGATCCTATTGGCATTGCAAATGGAGGGAAACCTGTTGATAACTTTGTAGGATTCTGACATTGCTGAGACAAATGCATTAGTCCCGATGTGGAACTGCTTTCCGAATGAAAGGTGGTAGAGGGAATGAAGGTTTGAGCTGATGTATTCAAGCAAAAACCCGTACTGGTCCCAGGTAAGGTTGGTAGGGGGGTGTTGGCCTCTGTAATGCTGGTGGTAACTTGGGTGCCAAAGGGACTGGAGTAATTAAGGGGGGAAACGTTAATTGGCAACATAGGTGGAATTGTGTTGGTCTCGATTGCAGGGGTGTCAATAATTTCAGGGTGGGTTGCAGTGTAAATGGGCTCAGGGGGGATATTGGTGTTGATTGCCGAGGGGGAAGTGGTGCTGATGGTCTCAGGGGAGGGGGGGGTGTTGGTTTCTGGGGGAGACATGGTGTTGATGGTGTCAGTGTTCTCAGGGGGGTGTTGGTGTTGATTTCCGGGGGGAGACATGGTGTTGATGGTCTCAGTGTTCTCAGGGGGGTGTTGGTGTTGATTTCCTGGGGGAGACATGGTGTTGATGGTCTCAGTGTTCTCAGGGGGATGTTGGTGTTGATCTCCGGGGGGAATACGGTGTTGATGTTCTCAGTGGGGGGGTGTTGGTTTCAGAGGGGAAAGTGGCATTTTCAATGTGTAATGATTTAACAAATGCTTGTTGCTCATGCAAAAACAAGTTTATCTTTCTGATGCAATTGTAAACTGCTCTGATAATAGCATCGACTTCTTCTTGGATTAGGTTAACTTGCTCTTGTGTTTCAATCGAGCCAAGTTTTGCCATGTTATCACATATTATGTTCAAAATTGACTGTAGATCATTCTTATCTAGTTGTAAAGCTGCCATATTCACATTTTCCAGTTTAAAACTCTCATCAACGACTGTGATTAGTTCATGAATTCTACAAATGTCATTCTTTAGGGCAACTTTGACAGGCCCAGCACTTTGTTGTCTAGCTTTTTGTTCGATTGTTGTCTTTACACTAACAAATACACTCCTAGCTTCTTCATAGCACCTTTTTACATTGTCTCTGTAAGTCATAATGTCTTCACCATTAACTACACGGTGTTCAGCGTATTTTTCGTCAGATACAATGAGTTCGTATTCCTCATTTATAACGCAAAAATCGTCAAATACCTTTTCAAGTTCGAACATTGAATCCTTTAAAATATCATATTCACAATCTCTGTTGTAGGCTCCGATCAGACACATTGTGGGAACTGAACGGAATTACGTGGACATCTCGCGTGTGCTACACGCGAGCACATGGAATACTAATTATGTATGTAGCGGGAAAACAACAGCGAGAGTTTTATCAATATATTTTTTATATTCTGAGTTTTCAGTGATTTTTATTGTGAGTAGAGTGACTTTTTCGCAGATACATACCGGGGAGGCAGGTACTTTGCGAAACGTGGCACCTCCGAGACGGGATTTAGTGATATTGTTGTTATATTCGACGATTTTTCGGTGATTTTAAACGCGATTGTTTACGAATGGCAGACGCCAACGCGATGTCGACGTTCGACGTTAAATTAAAACAACTTCTGATGACATGCAAGCGAACTGATTCGGTGCTCGATTCTAATAAAGATACTGCGATTAAACGACAACTGGAAGCTTTAAAAGCGTTAACAAACGAGGTAGAAACATCGAGACGAGGCGTAGAAGCGTTGAAAATCGAGCAAAAAGTGAACGAGGACGAAGTCGCTACGTGGAATTCTCAAGTAGAGACTGAGCTAGAGAAAGCAGACGACGATGTGAAGCGCTTAGAGAAATGGCAGGACGATTGCAAACTGGAAAAGGAGAGAAATGCTTTCGAAGAGAAATTGAAATACGAGATAAAACTACACGAAACTAAACTAAAACTCGAGTCCGAACATCAAGCGAAGTTGGAAAGTGGAAGTTCGTCGAAGGAAATTCATGCCAAGCAAGTGGAAGCGAAACTACCAAAACTCGTAATATCAAAATTTGACGGAAATTACATGGATTGGCAACGGTTTTGGGGTCAATTCACCGAATCGATTGAAAAATCTGGTTTAGCAAACATTGCCAAATTTTCATATCTGAGAGAACTTCTTGGAGACAATGTCAGACGTGAAGTTGAGTCCTTACCATTTACATCGGAAGGCTACAATCGAGCAAAGGCTATATTGGAGGAAAAATATGGCAAAGAATCAGAGTTAGTGAAGTCTTATGTGAAAGAAATTTTGAGCTTACCATACATTTCGACAGCGAATTCGAAGAAAATTGCCGAGTTTAGTGACAAACTGACATATTGTGTCCAGTCCCTGCAGTCGCTCAAGAAGCTGGACGAAGTGAAGGGTCTTACTATGGTTACCATTGAAAAGTTGCCAGGTATACGGGGTGATCTTGTAAGATCTGACAGTGATTGGGAGACATGGAATCTTGATCAGCTAGCAGAAGCAGTGCGTCTTTGGATACGGAGAAACCCAGTTGATCATAGTCGAGATGATGATCAAACGAAGAAGCGTCGAGAACGAGAGAGAATGTACCTCACCAATCGAACTGACAAATCTCGAGGGTGCATCTACTGCGACAGTAGTGAGCACAAAGCTGTTGAATGCACTAAAGTTACTGCCGTAGCTGACCGGAAACAGATTTTGGCGAAGAAGCGATTGTGTTTCAACTGTGCGGTTGGGACTCATCGGGCCGCACAATGCCAAAGCAAAACATCATGCCAAACTTGTCATAGGAGACATCATACATCAATATGTGACAAAACTCAACCGGAAGAGATCAAGAAAGTGGTATTAACACCAAGTGGAGTGGGGGAAGGAGTTTTCCCAGTGGTTTTGCTTAAAGTGGACGGAATCATAACGAGAGCACTGATCGATACAGGAGCCGGCAGCTCTTATATCTCAGCTAAAGTCGGAGATTTGCTGAACAAGAAACCCTCGGAAGCTTCAACCAAACGTATCGAGATGTTAATGGGCTCTCACCTTACGAGAATGGAAACGTATGATGTTATTGTTGAATCCCTTGACAACTCCTTCAAGATGGATGCAAAGCTCACAAAGGTTGACAAGAACGAACTGTTGTCGATAGAAAATCCACAGTACGAACACGTTAAAGCCAAGTACCCCCACCTAGCACAAGTCAACTTGACCGACAACGACAAGAAAGACCAATTACCGATTCATGTTATTTTAAGCGTGGGTGACTATGCGAGAATTAAGACCAACCGACCACCAGTGGTAGGTGAAGCTGGAGAACCTGTTGCTGAATACACCAAACTGGGGTGGTTCATCATGTCGCCCGGAAATGAAATCGACCGGCAAACCATGTTTCTTACCCAGACCAGCCATGTAGATTATGAGGAACTGTGTCGTCTTGATGTGTTGGGGCTCAAAGATTCCACAAAACACGATCAGGACATAGTGCATGCAGAGTTCAAGGAACAATTACAACGATCAGCTAGTGAAGGATGGTACGAGACAGGACTGCCCTGGCGGAGCAATCATCCCCATCTGCCGGCCAACAAACACGGAAGTCTCCGTCGTCTGAGTAGTCTAACAAAGAAGTTGAAACGAGATGGGCACATCGAAGAATACGACGCGGTTATTCGAGCACAACTCCAAAACTTATCCTGAAGAAGTCGAGCATCTACGTCGAAGCATGTATGTCGATGATGTACTAAGCGGCAGTTCGACAGTGGAGCAAGCCTGGAGACGCAAAGAAATTTCCAGAGAAATTTTACGGGACGCTACATTTGAGCTTCATAAGTGGAGCTCCAATGTACCGAAGTTGGAAGTTGACGAGGTTCATCAAATATCTGAACTTTCTGACGAACAGTCTTATGCAAAGACACAGCTGATGGTTAAACCCAAAGAATCGAAAGTGCTCGGTCTAAAATGGGACAAACAAAGTGACACGTTGAAGATTTCATTTCCAAGTGAAGAAGTACCGGCGACGAAGCGAGGTATCTTAAGTAAACTGGCAAAGATTTATGACCCTCTAGGGTTGGTTTCACCGCTGACCTTGGAGGGGAAACTCCTATTCCGCGACTTGTGCGATGCAAAACTCCCGTGGGATGTTGAGATTAATAACGAACAGTTGAAACGTTGGCGAACCTGGGAACAATCCTTACCCGTAGAGGAAGAAGTACCGAGATCTATTGCGAGATACCAGGAACCAATTGATGAGATTGTATTACATTCCTTCGGTGATGCGTCTACAAAAGGTGTAGGGACAGCAGTTTACGCAGTGGTTAGACAGCAGTCGGGAGCTACACAGCAATTGGTGGCAGCAAAGAGTCGGCTAGCAAAGAGAAATTTGTCGGTTCCACGTCTGGAACTGGTCGGGGCTCACATGGCGACAAATCTTCTAGTGAATGTTCGTGACGCCCTACCGAAAGAACCGCAACCATTGATGTTCGCATGGCTTGACAGCACAGTGGCTCTGTACTGGATAGTTGATAATGGGGCCTACAAGCAATTTGTCGCCAATCTTGTTGCGAAGATCCAGGCTCGCCCATAAATTCAGTGGCAACATGTTCCAACAAAGGACAACCCCGCGGACATTGCTAGCAGAGGCGGTCCCATATCTTCATCACTGTGGCAGTCGGGCCCAGAATGGCTCAGTGATCCAGCAAAATGGCCAGATAATCCGGTCACAAAATCATCACCCGAATCGGCAGTTGAAACCAAGATTAGTCGAGACCTCGTTTACATAGCCAAATCCACCGAAACAACAACAGACGAGTTAGACAAACTTCTCGAAAGAAACACGCTGCGTCGAGCACCGAGAGTGTCTGCGTGGATAAACCGATTTATTCACAACTGCCGTGCCAAAGAAAAGAGATTAGGACCTTTGGATACGGAAGAGATTGAGACGGCAAAGTATTGGTGGATCAGACGCGTTCAACTCCGAGACACGGTCGAACAACATTATAAGGAAACCAGCGCGCAACTTGGTCTTGAGACTCGATAAGAGTACAATATAACTCATTAACTATGTTATTGTCCAGCTTTATGGAAGAATTTGGTCCTATCTCGTCACGTACGTGTGTATTGTATTTTCGCTCAAATAGCCAATAACAAGTTTGTGGTTGAGTTATCCATCCGTAACTTGAACAAATGCTCAATTTAAACATTGCTATTGGTTGTGCGGGAAAAAATACAATATTATCGCGGATTGTGTTTTTCCCTCCGTATAAATGGACAATTTTTTGACAATTTTCTCTTCTCAACATTCATTTATGGGGCAACAACTAACAGCAGATCAACTGAAATCATGGTCTGACTACACATAACAGGCATATTGATTGGTCAAAGCTAGTTTGCGCAATTTTGGCCAAAGCATGAAGACTTTTTACTAGACTTGCAAATAGATAGTAGCATGTGATTGGACAATTTGCGCAAAAGAGTTAAAAGAACATCTCCTCTGATTGGCCTTCTAATCTCTTGGAAGCATTGTGTACATATAGTAGTTACTAGTTGGCGCAATTTTACAAGCAAATTGTAGATTTCGATAAGGTTTATACATCGTTATTTGAAAATGACGATACATGTATAAAGCATGCATGTAAGGAACGCTTAATGTTGTTCAGTGGAGAATATTTGAAGGCTTCTGCAATATATTCCGCAAAATATCAACCTCGTTCCCAAGGCTTTTTGCTTCCGCGGTTGGATGGTCAGCGAAAAAGGGCCTGGCTTTGGCTGGTCTGTTTTGCAACCTGATTGGTCAATGATTTTGAATGTAATTATTCAATATATGTGGGAAAAATTATTATTTTGGTGGAACGAGAGTGGAGTGACAAAGGATTAAAGTATGGAGCAAATAGGATTTTTGACATTTCGCTCGCGATACAGCACGAGTTAGGGAAAGACAATACATCATAAAACAATTTGGTCCAAATTAGGTCTTTGTACATTTTGTATAGACGACTATTTGCTTTGGTTCAAGGCCCGTTCAACATACATTTCTCACATGCGTTGTTTACACATCGTTGATTTCAAGAAACGTACAGCGTTATAGTCAAATAAAGATTGTGATAGAAACTATATTTGCTCATATTAAACACGATTTATATAAACCAAACGCTGAAGCGGTGTTGTTTTGTTTAGTTGTTCATGAAGTTATGTTTAAAAGTCATCAATATTACGGGCTATGTTGCTGAATGAGGTGTGAACAACGAAAACCGAATAAAGTCAACTTATTTTGTTGCTTTCTCTTTGATTACATACGCAGCCTTGAGTTTGTTTACTCCTGTCAGTCATTAAAATGTATTTACTTATTCTATATACGTACTTATACGCATAAATTATCATAATTGAACACCCCAAATACCGGAGATTTTGAGGTCATGCGACTGGCCACTGGCCAATGCCAGGGCCATTTTCGCTGAACGGAAGCAACATGCCCGGGGTACGAGGATGGCAAAATATGTAATACAATAATCCACGAGTGACCTTTTGGCGAGGATACAAAATTATTGTGCGTTTATAAGGACAAGCGGGCTGGTCCTGTTGCCGAGATGTGGCTTGAAAGAGGCGAGACCTCACCACGATGGAAATTTCTCCATATAAACGCTCACAAGCGGGCTAGCCCGGTTGCCAGGATGGAAGTTCAAAGATACCGCCGCAAGCTATTTTTAACAACTGTCAAAACAATGTCAAAAGAACAAATTGTCCTGGCAAGCAGGATGAAATTTTCTCATATAAACACATGCAATAGAAATTATCCCGCTTACCGGGCTGTCTGGCTAAGCGGGCCCGCTTCCATACAAACAAGCCCTTAAAGACCGTAAGTTAAGTACTATGGTTGAAGACAGGGACGCCGGAACTGGGGGGGCAGGGGGGGCGGCTGCCCCCCTTGCCTTTTGCTAGGGGGGGCAGGGGGGGCAGAAGTGCCCTTTTAGTTGTAAAATAATACGTGATAAATCACATTTCCAACGATGCTTTTTGTAGGAAAATCACGAGATTCAGGTAATTTATAGTTTATATTTATAAAAATTTTGGGAAATTTTTGGAATTTAGAAAAATATTTTGAAGAAATGGCGAAAATTTAGGATATCCGGAAAAATTTTTGGTTTCACGGAAAATTTTTGTATGTCCGAAAAAAAATTTTGACCCCTAAAATTGTGCCCTTGGTGTGCGTCCGCCCCCCTTTGCCCTATTATCGTTCCGGCGTCCCTGGTTGAAGACCACTTAAATGGCTTGGCATGCCCATGATGGTTTTCACCAGGAAACTATTCCTAACATAGGAAACTTTATTGATAAATTTTCTGTTGGGAACGCAAGGTTAAAGTTAAATATCTCGGCTTGCAAAAAGATCACTCTCGCCTCCAATAACAATAACTTCACTCTTGTACACAACATTGACATGAGAAAAAACTTCCTGGCCAGGGTAACTTTATGGGAACTTCCTCCCATTCTGCATCATCATCAACCAAACTTAGTCTCTCAAGAGTATCACCACCTTCCCATACCCCCCCCCCCAGCAAACATTCGGCGTTTGTAGACAAAAGCTGATGCCACACCCATCAAATGTCTCATATTGTCGTTAGGTGGTTTTTTGGCGCCTTAAAACCAGATTGCTTGTGTTCAGCCTTTTCAAACGGCTGTCCATGTCGGGTGATTAAATCACAGTTTACTATTTTTGGTAAATGTGTTTCCTAGGCATGCTGATGAGCCCTGATATAGGGCGTAACAGTCTATCTGTCATATGGTTAACATTGTCAATTCCGATATGTATGCCATTTACGCAGCTGTAGTTTGATAAAACAAAACATCTATACTGCCACGAAAATCGGACTATTATCCTGACGTCAAATGACGTCATCACGTTTTACGTCATCGATGACGTCATATAATTTTGACTAACGTGCGAAAAATCCTAGATCCGCCCCTGGACTCAGCAGCAAAACAGTCTTATTACATACTGCTAGATATATAGATATAGACGGACAGCGGTCATACGCACGGACATGCGTATTAGATATGTAGATCGGCCATGCTTATGTATTATTCATATTTTGTTAAAAGTATAATCTAAATACACGACAGTGGCGACGAATTTCGGATTGTTATAAGTCCAGAAATGACGACGATTGGAAAAATTGATGTTTTTGATGAAACTCAAGAAAGCTGGGAGACGTATATCGACGTATTTCTTTGCTGCAAACGATGTCGACGACAATCATCAAGTGCCAACTCTGCTGAGTTTGATTGGAAGCAAAACGTACTCATTATTAAAGGATTTACTTTTGCCAGAAAAGCCTGCAGACAAGAACTTTGATGAAATAGTAAGTACATTACAGAAGCATTTAAATCCTAAACCACTAGAAATAACCGAACGGTTTCGTTTTTATAAGATAAATCAGCAAGAAGGGGAGGGCATTTTAGGTTATGTAGCTGAGTTAAAGAAATTAACCACACATTGCAATTTTGGAAGTAACTTGGGAGAAACCTTGCGCGACAGATTGGTGTGTGGATTAAGTAATCAGCAAATTCTGAAACCTCTCCTTGCAGAGTCGAAATTAAAATTCTCCAAAGCTGCTGACATAGCAGTTGCTATGGAAACAGCCACTCGAGATGCTACAGAGATCCACAGCGAGGGTAGAGAAGAAAAACCTCTTGGTCTTGACAAACTGACACTGAACAGACCCTCGAATAGATCAGATAGTGGCCCACCTTCCCCTGTAGTGTGTTATCGATGTGGAGCTAATACTCATGTTGCAACTGAGTGTAGATTTAAGAAAGAAGTCTGTCACAAGTGTGGAAAGAGAGGTCATATTTAAAGAGCTTGCCGGTCACAACAAAGCCAGGGGCCCGGTAGACCCTCGCCCAGATCAAGATACCAGAAATCGACCAATTCCATAGAGACCGAACCAGATAAGTATGGACACTTGTTGAATAACCTAGAAGTTCATAATGTAAACAAATCAAACAATGATGTCATATGGGTTGATGTGAAAGTTGAAAATCAACCACTATCCATGGAAATAGACACAGGATCGGCCGTGTCCATTTTGCCATGTGACATGTTCTTGGAAAAATTTCGCGACAAGAAGTTAGAGAAAACAACCACTGTACTAAAGACCTATACTGGTGAACTGATCGTTCCAGTTGGTTGCCTTACCATGCAAGTTGAATACTTAGATCAATTATGTCTATTGCCATTCCATGTAGTCCAGACTAAGGGTCCAGTGTTAATGGGTCGAGATTGGCTTCACAAGCTTCGCCTCAACTGGAAAACCATTAAGTTGTTGAAAGCCTCAGATCCCAGCCATAGAAATCCTGGCACGACTACACAAGGGATACTGAAAAACCTATTGGATACGTATGCAGAGGTTTTTGAAGACAAGCTGGGAACTTTCAAATCTGCCAAAGCAAGGATAACTCTTAAAGAAGGTAGTCAACCACAGTTTCGCAAAGCTCGTCAGGTCCCATATTCCTTACGACCGAAAGTGGAGGAAAAACTGAAGAGACTTCAGAGCGAAGGTATTTTGTCGAAAGTAGAGTGGAGTGATTGGGCGACACCGATTGTACCAGTGCCGAAACAAGATGGTTCAGTCCGTATTTGTGGTGACTTCAAAGGTACTATTGACTACTATTAACCCAACACTACAAGCAGAACAGTATCCTCTGCCTCGAATCGAAGATATCTTTGCCCATTTAGCTGGTGGGAAAAAGTTTTCCAAGATCGACCGCCGCCAAGCTTACCATCAGATTGAGCTGCAAGAAGAATCCAAGAAGTACCTTACACTTAATACGTCCATGGGCTTGTTTCAATACAATCGATTGGTGTTTGGTATTACATCGGCTCCCGCCATTTCGCAGCGTACCATGGATCAGCTTCTGGAAGGAACTTCTGGTATTAGTTGTATCCTAGATGATATGATTGTGACCGGTAAAAGCGACGGAGAGCATATGGCTAACCTGGAGGAGGTCTTTCGACGGCTGCACCACCATGGGTTAAGAGCCAATAAATCGAAGTGTGAGTTCTTCAAAGAGAAGATCACGTTCTGTGGCCACGACATTAATAGCGAAGGCCTACACAAGACCACCGACAAGACAGCTGCAATGGTGAATGCCCCTCGCCCCCAGAGTGTTGCAGTCTTGCAGAGGTACGCTCCTTCCTAAGATTGGTGAATTATTACTACAAATTCCTGCCAAACCTTGCTACAATCATAGATTATATATCATACCAGATGTCTCACTCAGCCAAAATTGTGTCCGCGATTTTTATCAGCACGCGTTGGCCGCCATTTTGGCAGTAAGCGTAATCCACTCCATGAAACGTGAGCAATCACGCATTTTGGCAGTAAGCGCCATTTTGGCAGTAAGCGCCATTTTGGCAGTAAGTGTCGCACGCGTCATCTGGCGTGATAGCCTCGCGAAAATCGCGGACATGACACTAGTATGATCTATAATCTATGCTACAATCCTGCATCCATTGAACCAAATGCTGGAAAGTAACTACCAATGGAACTGGACAGATCAATGCGAAGAAGCCTTTTGCAAAGTTAAAGCAATGGTTGTTTCAGATCTGGTGCTTACACATTATGATCCTAACCTTCCCTTACAACTGGCTTGTGATGCTTCACCTGTAGGAATTGGAGCGGTACTGTCCCATGTCATGACAGACGGAACAGAGCGACCGATAGCGTTTGCATCGAGATCCCTGTCGAAGGCGGAGCGCAACTACGCACAGATAGATAAAGAAGCGCTTGCTACAGTGTGGGGAGTCAAGAAATTCCACAATTGCCTTTTCGGTAGGAACTTTACCTTACTGACTGATCATGAGCCTCTCACTTCAATCTTTCATCCCAGCAAAAGCCTTCCTGTTGTTGACAGTTCACTGTGGTGTCCTAATGCTTGGACACAGAGCAGTCATTCCTGCAAAGTTGCGTAATCAAGTGTTAACCGAGCTTCACGAAGGTCACCTCGGTATTGTTAAAATGAAGTCTCTGGCGCCAAGTTACATCTAGTGGCCCAAAATTGATAAGGACATTCAGCACCTAGCGAAGAGCTGCCCTGGTTGTCAACTTCAACAGAATGAAGCCGGCAAAGTACCACTACACCCCTGGGAATGGCCAACCACACCTTGGCAGAGAATCCATTTAGATTTTGCTGGGCCGTTCCTAGGACGAATGTTCCTTATCATTGTAGATGCACACTCGAAGTGGCCTGAAGTGGAAATAATGCCATCCACCACATCGACGCAAACCATTGACCGACTTCGAACCATTTTTCCCCGATATGGAGTGCCAGCACAGGTGGTGACCGACAATGGGCCACAATTTACATCCGCAGAGTTCCAACTATTTTTAAAGACTAATGGTATCAAGCTTATTACCACGGCCCCATTCCACCCTGCAACCAACGGTCAAGCGAAACGTTTTGTTCAGAGTTTCAAACATGCTATGAAATGCGAGAAACAAAGTGCATCCCAGCTGAAAACCAATATGGCAAAGTTCCTTTTGGCTTACCGGAATAGCCCGCATTCGACTGGAGAATCACCGTCCGTGTTGTTTTTGGGCAGACCGCTATGGACTCGCCTCGATTTGGTGAAACCTGATTTACAAAGGAATTCGAAAGTGATGAACAGGCAAATCGATCAAGCGGGAAGGAAAGGACATTCCCCCACACGCCAGTTATCCATTGGTCAGACAGTCATGGCACGTAACTACAGTGGAAAAGACAAGTGGCTACCAGGCATAGTTCGAGCTCAAACGGGACCCCTTTCGTACGAGATAAAAGTTTGTCCAAATCGAATTTGGCGACGTCACATCGACCAGCTTCGAGCCTCGAGTGTGAAAGTAAATGACCAGAGTCAGGGGCGGCGCTACAGGAGGGTGTGTGTGTGTGTGGGGGGGGTGGAACACCCCCCACTCGTCACCTAATCGGCAAATTGTTATCTCAGTCGGCAAAACTGGATTGGCTAATGTTAACCACTGAAGAAACCAAAATTGACCTCCTGAATAATTGAATTCAAACCGAATATCACGAATAGCATGCATCAAAGAAACCAGACATGCAGCAATGCAATTTTTTTCGAATACAGTATCTTCACTTCTGGCAGCTAGTCCAAAAACATAATATTATTGAAATCATAATTAGGTAATTAAATTTGTTTGGTGGTTGTTGTTGTTGTTGTTGTTGTTGTTGTTGTTGTTGTTGTTGTTGTTGTTGTTGTTGTTGTTGTTGTTGTTGTTGTTGTTGTTGTTGCTGCTGTTGTCGCTGTTGTTGTTGTTGCTGTTGTTGTTGTTGTTGTTGTTGTTGTTGTTGCTGCTGTTGCTGTTGTTGTCGTTGCTGTTGTTGTTGTTGTTGTTGTTGTTGTTGTTGTTGTTGTTGTTGTTGTTGTTGTTGTTGTTGTTGTTGTTGTTGTTGTTGTTGTTGTTGTTGTTGTTGTTGTTGTTGTTGTTGTTGTTGTTGTTGTTGTTGTTGTTGTTGCTTTTTATACTGTTCTATAAAAGAGGCAATAAAGTCGGTTTTCCACTAGCAAATTTTCTCGCACGAAGCGACCTTTTTCCTTTGTCGGTATCACTTATTACGTCAGCAAGACGTGGCAAAATCAGTCCTCGAAAACGAGGTCGGCATTCGGCAATGCCGGGCTAAATGCAAATTTTTGCCGACCTTAATTACATACATACATACATACTTTATTGTGTTCCCTAAATAGGGATTTTCAACACTGATTTACAAAAAATAAATGTTGTTCTATTTACAAGTTTTAGAATCTAGAATTTAAATTAAGGTAAAAAGGTAAGACATTTGTATAAAGTTTAACAAGGTAAAATTATCTACTTATATATTTGTTCTAGCATGCTTCGCTTCAGTTCGTTTTTGAAAGTTTTTAGGGAGTATAACTTTTTGTACTTTATGTCCAAATCATTCCAGAGTGTAACGCCTCTATAATGAAAGGACCTTTGACCTGCAGAAGTTTTGTACAATGGTATTTGCAGTGAGTCATGGCTACGTGTATCTCGTTGATAAATGTCAGAACGTTTTGTGAATAAATCGCTCAAATAATGTGGAGCAAGTTCATTGACACATTTGTACATCATAATAGCCTCTCTTAGTAGTAATTGTTCCTTTACTGGGAGCCAGTTAAGTTCGCGTAAGCCCGGCGAAATATGGTCGAACTTTCCAATATTTGTTATTATCATGTATGCAAAATTTTGTACCAACTGTAGTTTCTTAATGTTGGTAGACGAAGTGTTTGACCAAACCGTTGAACAATAGAACATTTTGTTCATTACAAGTGCCGAGACGATAAGAGTTAAAGCTTCTTTATCGAAACATTTTTTGACTCGGTTTATTTGGCACAGGGAATTCATACATGAAGAAACCAGGTTGGTGATGTGCTGGTCATATGTCAAATAAGAGTCGATTGTCATTCCTAGATCTTTGGCAAAGGAGACGGGGGTAATAGTCTCGTTGAGGAAGTTTATGGTCATATCTACGGGAAGTTGTTGTAGGTTTTGCCGTGTGCCAATCAGCATGTATTTGGTCTTTCCCGGGTTAATAAGCAATTCATTTTCGGAACAACTGTTTGCAATCAAATACAAGTCTTCCTCAAGTTGTTGCTTTAAACAGTCCACGTTAGCCACAGTGAAAGATAGTAATATCTTGGAGTCGTCCACGTACGATTCAAGTTTACTATGGTGGACTGATGAGGGCAAATCGTTAGTATAAATACTAAAAAGTAAAGGTGATAAAATTGCACCCTGTGGTACACCATAAGAAACAGGGAGAGGAGTAGACACAGTTGATCCAATTCTGACTGATTGAGTTCTTCCGGTCAAGTAACTCTCAAACCATTTTACAACGCTTGGAGAAGCCCCGACGTTGCTAAGTTTTGTAAGGAGAAAAGTATGATTTACACTGTCGAAAGCTTTAGATAGATCTATTAGAATCAGTGCAGTAACCAATTTCCCATCCATGGCCTTTAGGATAGTATCTCCGGTCAAAAGATTCAATGTTTCGCATGAGTGATGTCTCTTGTTCCCGCTCTGGTGGGTTGACAATTTTTTGTTCTTCATTAGATACGAACCAAATTGATTCAAGGCGACTTTTTCACAAATTTTCGAAAGAAAGGTAAGGAGAGAAAGTGGGCGGTTATTTGATGCTTCCTCGTGGTTTCCATCCTTTAACAAAGGGATAACGTCTGCCTCTTTCCATGCTATAGGGAACGAAGATGACGACAGTGAGCAATTAATGATATCGGTGAGGGGCCCAAGAATTACCGGTAGGCTGTGTTTGATGACACGCATACTCACTTTGTCTTTGCCGGGTGATTTGTTTGACGGCATAGCTAATATGATGTTCCTTATTTCTGAACAAGAGACTGGGGTGAAACTAAATCTATCATTTTCTTCAGGGTAGCTGTTATCTGTGCGATTTACGTCAGAAAGATTCCGAGCTGGATAAACACTAAGATCTTGTATTAGTGTTGAGGCTTTCTTTGCTGCATTCACACCGATGGTGGAAAAGAAATGATTAAACTCTTCGGCCACTAATTTCGGTTCCTTACTGTAGACCACTGACTCTCTTTCCCTATACGCTATATTTTCTTTAATTACCTTCCAAAGTGACCCAGTATTGTTTCTGTGTTGCTGAACTTCCTTCAGTACATATTCTTTCTGTGCATTAACAAGTGCGGTTTTTGTAAAATTGCAGGCCTCTCTGAAATTAAGCCAATCATAATGATCACGTGTTTTCCTGAAAAGACTGTGGAGCTGGTCTCTTTTGATCATGGATGCTTTTATTTCCGGGGTGATAAATGGGCAAGATTTTCCGCGTACTTTTATGGTCTTTACTGGGGCGTGTTTATCCAATGTATTTAAAAATATTTCATTAAAAATGGTTAGTTTTTCATCTACATTGTCCATTCTGAAAATGGAAACAAGACGATCACGGTTGGATGCCAGATCGATCGCGAACAAATCAGGGTCGTATTTATTGTAGCTGCGGGTAGTGATATAGTTTGGTGGAGATTTGTCGGTTTTAAGTTTTAGTGATACATACACAGGGAAATGATCGCTGATGCAGGTTTCTA